TTGAAGTTTATATTTTCCAAGTAAGAAGTTGGGAGGGGCTGGTGGTGGCTCTGAAAGTCTTCCAACTCCTTTGCCCTCCTGGTGGGTGTACTGGCGCCTGGATTCCTGGAGCCACTTAGATGTCCCCCCTGGTGGCATGGGACCTGCCTGGCACTGGGTCGCGAGGTCAGAGGGGTGACTCTTTGCTCGGCACAGAGAGGAGCCAGTCGGTGAGCTCTTGGGCAAGGGTGGAGTGGCTGGTTCTGGAGTGCCTCACCTGTTAGAGGTGGACTTGGAGGCAGAGGGGTCCTGTGACTTGGGGACCCCGACAGGCTGTCTTCAGGCCAGGCCACCGCTCCCCCAGGGGTCCAGGAGTCTCCTTGCCCACCTGCATGTCCCCGGTCTGGGCGCTCACTTCCGCTGCCCACACAAGCTCTGATCTTGGTGCAGATCGGGGCTTCCACCTGTGTCCCTACAGGGACTCAGAGGCAGGGGATGGCATAGCCTGCAGCTGACGCCTGCCCTCTCTGAAGCCCTAGGCAGCCCCTGAGCATGGTGCAGAAGGACCCAGAGGCTCCTGTGCAGTCAGCTGAGGCTCCTGTGTGGGTGGGGTGGGGTGAGGGAGGGTGAGGAGAGCTCACAAGAGGAAACCCCAGGGCCTGGGGTGGCATAGGGGCCTGGACAGGTGTAGGTGGCCCTTGGCCTGGTTCTGGGAGCCCCTTTTTACAATTTGATGCTTGGGGAATCTGCCTGTGAACGGGGCCCAGAGAGAAGCTGGCTGGTATGTCACTGTGACATTTGCCTGTGGAGTCTGGTGTGAACAGTGGGGGCAAAAGGGCGTGTATCCTGTCGCTGTGGTCCCCAGCCGCAAGCTCTGCTGGGAGGAAGACATTCAGCGGATGCCTTGCGCCTGGGCGCTGCTCAGCCTGACAGAATCTTCCGGAGCCCTGATGATGAGGAAGGTGAAGGCATGGTGCTTTTGGGGGGCTCTCAGCAGTGGGGTGGTGAACGTGCGTGTGTGTTGGGGTGCTGGGAACCCTGAGGGAGGGGCAGGTGATGACCAAGATGTACCTTGTCTGGCAAAGGACATCTTAGTGTTCCTGCCAGGCCTGGAACGAGGGATCAGGCTGCCTGAGAGTGGCGCTTTGTCCCTGTGTCTCGGACTTCTCTTCTGGGCCTCTGGGTTTGGCTCTTCTCAGTGGGCCTGGGTTCTGGAAAGTTCCCAGGGCTGTGCAGGGCTGTGCCCTTCCGACAATAGGCCTGGTTCTGCTCAGGGGCTGGGGCTGGATGGGAGCCCCTGGGAAGAGCCGGGTGTGCACGACTTAGCCCAGTCAGGCTCACAGACCTGCTCATGACTGTTCTCGACTGGGTGAGCTCAGGCCATGTGTCCTGGATCATCTGGTGCCCCCTGCCACCTATGGGTACTGTGAGAGGGACCGGGTACCATGTGGGGAGGACTTGTGCCCTGCAGTGAGTGGGGGGTGGGGTTACAGGAAATAATGGAGTGTCCCCCCAAAACAAGCCTGGTGTGGGCAGGGACTATCCCTTCCCCTGCTGGGACTCCCTAGCGGCTTGCCTGCTGCAGGCTGTCGGAGGGTGTGGCTGACTCCTTGTCTTGCTGGAAGCAGGGTGGTTGGCATGACCCGGGCATGGCAGAGGGCATGAGGAAAGGTCTAGGGGCCGCCTGCCTTCCCTGTTGCTCGCGGGGGCCTCTTGCCAAAGCCTCAGTCCCCGGCCCCAGGGGGCACTGAGCCTGCTGTCCTCTCGGCCTTCCCAGGGGAAGCCGAGCTGTTTCCTTCCGCAGCAGCAGCGGCAGCAGCAGCAGCGGAGGTGTTTGCAGAGGGAGGTTCCGGAGCCGCCACGTGGGCAGCCCTGTCACCACTGGCTGCACTCACAGCTGGCTTCGGGCTGAGGCCCACAGAGGGGAAGTGCTGACAGAGGTGACACTGAGGGGCCCTGATAAGGCTCCCTAGACTCTTGCTGCAGAGGCCGCTGGCGCTGCCCTCCCCTGCCACCTGGGCCTCCTCTCTGTCACACAGTCAGAGGCTGCTGTTTGCTTGTTACAAAGTGAGAGATGTGTAAGTGCGTGGTGAGTGTTGGTGACGCCGCCAGCCCGGACTTCTCCCTCAGATCCACGTGGAGTGCTGGACACAGGGCAAGCCCGTGTCTGCTCCGCCACGCCTTCCTCCTCAACTCCTGCTCATCCTTCACAGCCCAGCTCAGCTGTCCCATGGGCCCTGCTGGACTCAGTCCCTCCTGGACACAAGCCCCCCTCCCCTGAAGCGGCACATCTGCAAGCTTGGCACGGGGGTGCTGGGGGTGGGCTCGGCATTTGTTGACCCTTGGACGCGTCTTCCCGGGAGGTGCTGGGGGGTCACAGAGAGCAGCCTCGTGCCCCCATCCCAGCGAGGGTCAGAGCTGGTGTGCTTGAGTGGCCTTTCTGCTGGGGAGGGGCCGGTCAGTCCTGGGCACTAGGGGTGCAGAGAGGCCTCCGCAGCCGTAAGAGCCAGGCAGGTCCTGCTGTGGCAGTGGCAGGAGGGTACTGGGGTCGAGTTAGGTGGTGGGAACTCATCCTTGCTCCTGCCCAGGGGCAGGCAGTGCCAGGACATGTCCTCTCTAATAGCCATCCCAGGTACTCCTTGAAGACAGGGCTGTGTGCACCCAGTCTGTCATGTCTTAAGATGACAGCACGTAGCAGGCCCTTGTGACAGATGGCTGGGGCAGCTGGCTTTGTCATGGCCCCCGGGCCTGGAAGGGCAGCAGGCAGTGGGTAGTGTCTTAGGCTGGGCACTGGATGGGCAGGGTCGACATCTCCAGTAGTGTGGCCCAGCTCAGGGTCATCAGGGGAGGCATGTGCGAGGACCTGGTGCTGGCCTGCTGGCTCCCGTCTACCTGTAAGGCTCCCTCTACCCCTTGCTTCTGTCTCCCTCACAGAGAGCGATGGGGCTGGTAGGCAGGGCCGGAGGAAGGTGGGGAGACCTGCTGGCCGGGCTCTTCCTCTCAGCCCCTGCAGCTCCCTCTTCTTTCTAGACCTTTTGCCTCTCTTGGCCTCGGGTTTCCCTCTGAGGTTTCCAGCTAGAGGTAGTGTGTGTGTGTGTGTGTGTGTGTGTGTGTGTGTGTGTGTGTGGTTAGAATAAGTGCATGCCTGTGCAAGTGTGCATGGTGGTAAGGGTCATGCGGTGCCAGGACCACAGCTCACATCTGACTGATCAGTCCTCCTGGAGCCAGCTCCAGGTGACCCCAGCCAGACCTGCCTGTTGCTCCCACCCACGCCTGGGGTAACCAGGATCCTTCCAGTGCAGTCCTGTGGGGATGGGGCCTCCCTGCCCAGCCCCTCTGTAGCTTGCTTTTTAGCTGCCAGGGTGGTGTGCAGCAGGAGATCACCTGGGAAGGGCACCCGGTGAGGGCAGGGAGGCTGCAGCCTGAGGCCTCTTCCTGCTGTTTTGCCCGTTTGTGTCCCTAAAGCAGAAATACAGACAGCTAATAAATATGTGGACAATGCTCCAGATCTTTAGCCATCGGGGAAATGCAGATCGAAACTTGGTTGAGTCCAGCTGGGTCCAGTTGGAATGGCTTTTCTCAAGAAAGCAAAAACCAGCAGATGCTGATGAGGCAGTGGAGAGAAAGGTGCTCCTTTGCACTGGCGTTGGGGATGTACAACCAGTAGGAAGTGGGTGTGGGGAGTCCTCAGCAAACTGAGACCGTAGGGACCGTGCCACCCAGCTCCACTACTCCTCACACACAGTAGAGGCACCTGTACACCCCGTGTATCGGTGCTGCTCGTGAGGGCCAAGTTAAGGAACAGCATAGAGACCTGTCAGCAGGTGAACAAAGGACGGCCCGCGTACTCCACGGAGTGCTGTGTAGCCACAGAGGAGCCAGTGCAATCTCAGGAAAATAGATGAGCAGGAGATCGCAGTAAGGTAAGAGAGGCTGACACGGACAGACAGGGCCATGTTTTCTCTCACGTGTGGAAAGCCCGAAAACCAAGATGACACTGAGAATAGAGGAGGGGCTTAGCTCAGGGGAGGGGGAGGGCAGCTGCAGTCAGAGCACACGGTGTGCTGGCTGAGGACAAGTCAGCGTCAGAGCCACTGATGTGGACAACTAATACACGCCAATAAGTACGATAAAAATATAAAGCAAAAGAACACTCCCGCTGGGGAGGCGTATGGAGAAGGGAGACTTATTTCTTACAGCTCTGGATCTTGGAAGTCCCAGGCCGAGGGCCCCCTCTGGCGCTGCCTTCCTTCCTGCTGAGTCCTGCGTGGCAGGCGGCAGCTCTGGGGAGCGCAGGGTGACAGCCATCGACAGCCAAAGCCCTGTGTCTGGGGTTCTGTGTCGAGGGACGCAGCAAGCTGTGGATGGAAAGCATGTGGGGAAAACTAGTTCCAAAATGCTGCAAAAGCACACTTGGCCTTTGCTGTGCCTGAGGGCCTCGCTGAACGCAGCGTGTGAGGGGAGGCGCATGCACGCCCGGCGGCAGCCTCCGAGTTGCACTGCCCTAGTTTCCCTCTGGTGCTGCTTTGGGCGCTGCTGTTCTTTGCTCGTCTCGCGCCTAGGTCCTGCACTGCGTAGTCAGGCCTGTAGTGCTTGTCAGCACTGTGTGGGAGGCTTTCTCTTCTTATTCTTCAGACTTAGCGTTTCGCTGTATAGTGGGCTCCAGGGAGCCTGGAGTTGATTGCGAGCCTGTGGGAGCACACTCGTTGGTTCTGTGTTGCACCGTTGTGTGGAAGGGGCTGGCACACCTGTGGGTTTTGGAGTCTGGATGGGGTCCTGGAACCTGCTCCCCTTGGATATGGAGGGCTGAAAACCACCGTCAAGACCCCAGTTGAGGGCAGAGCCCTGCTGATGTGGTCTCCTCCCGTGAGGCCCCACCTGCCAGCACTCAGGCTCTGGGGACTGCAGTGGTGGGAGACCCGATGGTCCCCCGGCCCAGAGCTTGGCCCTGGGGACCCAGCACCCTTGCTCTGGCCCCTCTGCTTCTCGGTAACGCTCTTGCCCTCTTGCTGCCTCGGCAGGTCCTCCAGAAGCTGGGGAAGGCGGATGAGACGAAGGATGAGCAGTTTGAACAGTGTGTCCAGAATTTCAACAAGCAGCTGGTGAGTGTGGTGGCCTCTGGCCTTGGGATGCTTGTGGGCCAGGAGGAAAGGGACAAGAACCAAGTCTGGAGAAGGAGAGCTCAGTGGGCAGGATCAGAGTGAGCTGCGGAGGTCACAGGAGACTCTGGAGGAGGGAGTACTGGCCCTGACCAGAAGTGCCAGGTGGGCAGGGAAGGCATAGTGAGGTCCTCGATAAGACCCAGAGAGAACACTGGGGGACGGGAGGGGCTGGTGGCACAAGGTCCGGGGTGTGGTCAGCCTCTGGAAGAGTTTCACGCCAAGGCGAATGGGAGGTGCAGAAATGTCCTGCTAGGGAAGTGGCACCTGCAGGGTTTAGTGTGGGCAGGGCAGGCTGGATTTGACCAGGACATTTAGTGAGCATGGCTAGTACCTGGTGTGCAGCTGGCTCTAGGCTGAGTCCTTTGTAGGTGCCAGCCTCAGAATAACCCGAGACCATTGTTCCTGTTTTGTAGATGAAGCAGATGGGGTGCGGAGAACTAGGGTGATTTGCACAAGTTCATCCAGCGTTGGCAATGCATACAGGTGTAGATTGATTTAGTTCCAAAACCAGGAAGAGACCCCCCAAAGAATCCTTACCAAGGCCTGCTCTAGGCTAGGAGTAGTTGACAAGAAGGGCCTTGATTACATTAGCAGTCTGGGGACAATGGTTAGATCCAGGAAGAACTTGCCTACAATGGGAAGACCCTGAGGGTATTACTGGGCTGCCCCTGAAACTTTCCTCCAGACAAGCCAAAGCAAGCCATTTCTGTAGTTGTATTGAACAACAATTGAGAGGGGTGGGAACGACAACTGAGAGGGGTGGGAGATGACTCTGGCTTTCTCTCTTCCTGGGGAGGGCTCGGGGAGCAGGAAAGAAGGGGTACTGGGCCCTGGCTCCATGGTAGTGCCAGTTAGCTACAAGCCAATGACTGGTAGAGATGGAGGCCACAGGGAATGGGACTGGGCATGGGAAGGTCAGGATCCAGGCCCTGCTAGAAATGCAGTAGGATGGGCCTCAAGGGTGGGCCCAGGATAGGGACCCTGGCCTCTCAGTGCTCCATGTGTGTGTCTGAGTCCTTGGAAAGCACTGAAGGTGCCTGCAAAAACCTCTGCAGCTGGAGTGCTCCTGGGGGGCGGGTGTCTTTTGTAGGGCTCAGACACTCACTGGTCAGGGATGGTAGCAGTTGTGAGTGGACAGGAGAGCATTTGGAAAAAGGCTGGGAGCAGGGTGAGAGGATCAGGGAGCATGCTGGGAGAGTAAGGGTGCATGCTGGGAGAGGGTCAAGAGCATGCTGGGAGACGGTCAGGGAATGTAATGGGGGAGGGTTAGGGAATATGATGAGGGAAATTTGGTATTTCTGGGACAAGGTCAAGAGCATGCTGGGAGAGGGTAGGAACATCCTAAGAAAGGGCTGGCATTATTCTGGGAGAAGGTTAAGAACATTCTGAGAGAAGGCTACGAGTGTGCTGGGAAGGCTGGAGGGCAGAGCTATCCTGGCCTGCCAGTGAAGTGAACTCAACCTGCGAGGCTCCCCGGGTTCAGGGTGGGAGCTGTCATGGCTGCTTGTCTTCTAGGACATAACAGAAGGTTATTCAAGGCCTAGGTAGGCCATAATGGGATTTACTGCCTTGGTTTCCTAAACTATAAAATGTTGGCTTGAACAGGAAATTCACAGCTTCAGCTTCTGTTTCTGTCTCTTAGAAGTCCTGGGTGTGTCCGTAGGCTGTGGCTTCCTCGGATTATGGCAGCTCCGAAGACCTTGTAGACGGATACAGGGGGCCGTGTTTTACAGATGTATCCCTGCAGTCCTTGTAACGATTACTTACGCTCTTTATTTTGCAGACAAGGCACTGGAGGGTCAGAGTTTAGGCAACTTGCCAAGGCCACACAGCTGGTTTGGGGGCCTAGGAGCTCAAAGTCAAATTCTGGGTTCTTTAATATACTGTCAGGTTCCCTCATTGGAGCCGAGCCCAAGGCTGAGGGCAGGGGGCAGGGCTGGTGGAAAGCTACAGCCCCTTAGGGGCAGGGGTGGCAGTAGGGGCTGGGGTGCTAAGTGTCTCCCTAGAGCAGGCTGGGCTGTCCGGTGGAGGGTGAAGCAAATACAGACAAAGGAGCTGAGGTTCTCTGTGGCCTGGTCTCAGAGCTGAATCCACAGTGTTGTTTGCCCTACATGTCTGTCAGAGTCACCCCTGCTAGGTCCCTGGCCCTGGGCAGGAGGTCACTGATTGGTTCTTAGGCAGAGGCGCTGGGCAGAGCAACCAGGGCTGTAGACAGGCGATGCTGGTGGCTGCCCGGCTGTGGGCTTGGAGGGGTCACCTGAGTTGGAGCTGTGCCTACCTCCGGGTTGGGTGGGGTGGCCGGCAGTTTAGGGCCAGAGATAGGGAGTGGGCAGTTTTGAAACCTCCTTCCAGTCTTGGGTAACCTCTGTGTTGGGGTCATGGCTGCTGCGGGCAGAGGTGCTGAGCCCGGGACCCAGCTGCAGTGAATACGGGGGAGCAATCCCTCGCACATCTGCCCACTGTGGGCCAGTTCACAGCTGGAGTTTGGGCACCGTCGGCCTGGCAGCTCAGGGAACTGCACGAGTTGTGGAGAGTGCTTGTCTTCCTGTCCATACCTTCTCTTTGTTTTATTATATGAAGTGCTGATTGAAATGCTATCTGTGGTGAACGCTAAAATTGAACAAGAAATCATTGCCGTGGAGGACACACCGCACTAACCTCCCCAGAGCACCGTGTCTGCCTTGAGCACGCTGATCCCGTCATTCTCGCCACTTTCTGGAGCAGTTCTGGAAGTGCTCTCTCAGGAGAGCTTGGGTCAAGTATGAGTGCTGCTCTTCAGTGGCAGCCACCAGCAGCGCAGGCTTGCAAGGCCGCCATGGTGTGTCCTCAGGCACCTCGCTCCCTGTGGCTGGCATCGTGAGACTCCTGCTTTGCCCCAGAGTCAGGTTGATCGTGAAAGGGCAGAGCTTTGAATCAATTAAAGACGTGGATGGAACCGTGACAGCACAGCTAAAGAGATACGTGAGAGAGCATTCCAGTGTGGCTCCAGGAGGTGGCGAGATGGCGGGATGGTGTGCCTGAAGCCAGCGGAGGGTTTTGTGGCTTACTAATGTTTTTTGTTGTTGCTATTTTTTTTTTTTTTACTTTTTATTTATTTATTTTTTTTGAGACAGGGTTTTGCTATGCAGTTCAGGCTGGCCTTGAACTTGATTTGTAGCTCAGGCTGGTTTCAAACTCATAATGATCCCCCTGCCTCAGCCTCCAAATACTGAGATTGCAGGCATGTGCACTAGGCCTGGCTGGGCTACTAAGTGAACGTGTCTTTTATTTTATTTTATTTTTTAATGTATGTGGTCCAGGGTCTCACCACGCAGCTAGACTCGTAGTGATTCTCCTGTTTTCAGCCTCCCAGCCCTGGGATCACAGGCACGCACCACTATTCCTGGTCTCAGTGCTTGGCTCAGGGTGCCAGGGGAAGGGCCAGAGCGGCATGTGGTTCTGGAGATCAAACGCCAGTCCCTGTGCATGCCTAAGCAGGCGCTTAGTCCGCTAGCGTCTCGCTGGCCTGTGCATGTGTCTTTTACTGTCATAAATTCTTTCAATTTAAACATTTACTGGTGGTTTTTTTTGATCCTACCACATGTGGCGTGCCACTCTGAGCCCTCTCTGCTGTGTCTTCACTGTAAAGGGAAAGCTCCTTTTCCTTCCTTGTAATAAGTAAGTGGGCCAGCCCGTGGCTTCTTCAGGGCCACGTCACTACGCGAGCACTCGGCACGCTGCAGCTGCAGGGTCTCTCCCATTTTCCAGTCCACAAGACGCTGGGCCACTTGCCCCTCGGCTTCCTTGCTGGTCAACTGGGGACACTGGTGTTAAGAATATGGGACAGGGAGTGCGTGGACTCCAGGGAGAAAGAGCAGGTCCCAGTGAGGAGGGGCCGGGGGCTGTGGTGAGCCTCGGAAGGTGGCGCCTCGTGCCCCCCTGCAGATGGACTTGAAGATGGGCCTCCTCAGGAGTGCCAGGTCGCCCAGGCCCAGCCCAGCTGCCGGGCTTGTTGGCCTTGAACACACTCACCCGGTCATTTATGCCACTTTCCAAAGCACTGAGATCCCTGAGAGGCTGGGGAGCCAGAGCCAGGCTGTCTCTGGTGAGGTGGCCAATGCAGGAGGACAGGGCAGCCTAGGCCCCTGCTGCCATCCCTTCCTGTCTCCTCTGCTCGGAGCCTGACTCCTGAGGCCTTTGGGGGCCCAGCTGTTTCCTGGAACTCTCCCCTGAGCCCCTGCGGTGTGCCAGGCAGGGTCATTTCCCCTGTGGGCGGGTGAGGGGACAGAGGCTTGGACAGGCTCGTTCATGTGCTTGCTGTAGGCCCCCAGCCCATGTGTGCTTCTTCCCTCACTGCGTGAGTTCTAGAAACTTCTGCTTCGCTTCTCCTGGTGGTCTCGCAGCTGGTGGTTCAGCCCCCCTGCTGTTCTCTCTGCCTCTGTTTCCGTGGTATCAGTGGCCCGGAGGACATGAGTCCGTGGCCCTACCCACTCTGCTGTTGGCCCTCTCTTCAGCCCGTCACTCATACATCTGGCATCCTCCTCTCTGCACGACCTTCTGCTCCCCACCAGGGGTCCCCTGCCCTCCACCCCTCCGGGCCCTTCTGCCCATAGGGTCCTCCCAGGCCCTCCTAGCTCGGCATGATGCTGGAGAAGGACTCTGTTCTGGCACCACCGAGCTGCTTCCTGGTGGCCCCGTGGTCCGTGCTCATGGTCACTTGTCCGCTGTTGTCTGGGAAGGTCCATCCCACTGGACCTGTGGGCTGTCACGTGTGGTACTCAGCTGCCCCCCAGTGTGGCACCCCGGGCACAGGCACCCTACTTCCCTCACAGAGCTGGGCAGGGTGACTGGCCAAGAGGCCCCAGGGTTCCTGTGTGGAGACAGCACTTGGAGCACAGTGTGCATCTGCCACGCCTGCTGGCCCAGTGTGCGGGATGGAGGGCAGCTGGGCAGTGGCTGCTGCCGGCGAGGCCTGGCTTGCTACGTGGGCATGGCCAGAAGGAGAGATGGGGACCCACGATCAGCCCAGGCCCCGACTTGGTTCTCATTTTTCTTGGCAGACTGAGGGCACGCGTCTGCAGAAGGATCTCCGGACCTACCTGGCCTCAGTCAAAGGTCAGGCTGGAGGGGCAAGCTGGAGGTGGGGCAGCGGGTGCAGAGCTGGGAGGGCGGCAGGGCTGTCATGGAGGCCGGCTCCTCTCTGCCCCACAGCCATGCACGAGGCCTCCAAGAAGCTGAACGAGTGTCTCCAGGAGGTGTATGAGCCTGACTGGCCTGGCAGGGATGAGGCGAACAAGATCGCTGAGGTAGGGGTTGTGCAGGGCAGGGCCGGTGGTTGTGGCCCTTCCCAGAGGGCCTCACACTCACACTCCTGCCTCCTGCTCTGAGCCCACATGTGCGCTGTGAGTCCCTGGGCAAGTTCCCTTGTCTCTCTGAGGGTTGTGCCTCTCCTAACATCCTCACTGAGGGATGAGGTGATGGATGGATCATGACATGAAGTCTCCCTTGCTGACCCCATTGGTTCTGAGTGTATCTGAACCTCTCCATCCTCCTGTGAGAAACTGCAGGCCAGAAATTGTTGTCCCCATTGTACAGATGGACACACTGAGGCTCTGAGAACGCCTTGAGTTTTGAAGTGATGCAGCCGGCCAGGGTTCCCCCATAGGCCTGCTCCCTGAAGGCCACTCTGTTGCACTTGTGTGTTTCAGAACAATGACCTGCTGTGGATGGACTACCACCAGAAGCTGGTGGACCAGGCGCTGCTGACCATGGACACCTACCTGGGCCAGTTCCCTGACATTAAGGTGCGAGCTCTGTTGTGAGATGTAGAGAGGCCGGGGTGTGGCCCAGGCTGGCCCGGCCTAGAGGTGCCTCTTGCCCCCCTGGAGCTGCCCTTCTACGCTCACCCTGTGTTCCCTGCTCTGCTTCCTTGACCTGTGGGTCCAGGGCTGTGGAGCGAGGCTCAGGGTGCGCTATGTGTGCGTGGCCATGTGCTCTGGAATGACTGAGACTGTGTGAATGCTGTGCATGTTGGGAGGCTGTGTGTGCGTCGCCTGTTACGTGGGTCTGGCTGTCTGGGCAGGAGGCTGGCTGCTGTGGGCCTACAGACACCATAGGCGCTCTAGAGCGGCAGGCTGTCCCTGGAGGCGAGTGGCCTGCGCTGTGTCCAGACAGCAGCCGCCGAGCAGGCCTGATCCTGGGAAGGCAGCTGGGGGTCCTGTGTGCGGGGGCCCGGCTGCCCAGTGCAGGTGCCTCAGCCCCCGGTGCTGAGGGCTGACTGGGGAGGAGCCAGGCTGAGGAATGGCTGGACCGGGACTGATGCAGTGCTGACTTGTGTTGCTGAAGGCCAGCAGTCCTCAGGGCAAGCTGCCCAGAGAGGGTGCCCCACCCTGGTGAGGGCTGAGCCTGCACCCGGGCCTCCTGCTGCGCCCCCCATGTCTGGCCCTCCCCATGCCTGCTCCCTCTCCGGGCCCAGCCTGGTGGGGCACCTCCGGGTACACTCATCCTCCTGCTGTCTGCCCTGCAGTCTCGAATCGCCAAGCGGGGGCGGAAGCTGGTGGACTACGACAGTGCCCGGCACCACTACGAGTCCCTACAAACAGCCAAAAAGAAGGATGAAGCCAAAATTGCCAAGGTAGAGGCTGGGGAGCAGGTTGGGGGTGCCCGGGGGTGGGGTGGGGTGGGGGCGGCCTTGTGGGGAGGCTTGAGGCCGAGGCTGCGGAGGGTCAGGCCCAGCGGTGCCTGTGTGTTCGTGTCCAGTCCCCCCGCCTTCTGCAGGGCACTCTGCCCTCCTCGGGTGCCGGTTTCAGGGAGAGGAGAGTGGGTTTGGGTTTCCTTGGAATGGTGTCACGCTGCCTGGCACATGGAGTGGAATTCTGTCATGGGATCCGAGGTGACCCAGCCCTGGCTGGAACAAGCTGGTGGGCTGGTCATAGGACTGGCTGCACAGGCTACGTGTGAGGGGCGGGGGCAGCTCCGTGGCCCTCTGGGGCAGGACCCTGCTTGCTGCAACCTGTGCCCTGCTAACGACTCTCCTGTTTGCCTTTGCAGTTGGAATTCACCCTCTCCGTACCACCTGGGCAGCTCCCTTTAGTTCTCTCGCCCGCCGCCGCAGAGGCCTTTCCTTGGGGCGGGGCTGGCCCTGGCGGGGGCTGGCTGCTCTGTCCAGTGGGCTTGGTGTCTAACGTCAGTGTCTTTCTCTCTCCCCACCTGCCTCCTGTCTCTCCACTCTCCTTTGCCTTGACCTGCCCCCACTCTCAGCCTGTCTCGCTGCTTGAGAAAGCCGCCCCCCAGTGGTGCCAAGGCAAACTGCAGGCTCATCTCGTAGCCCAAACTAACCTGCTCCGAAATCAGGTGACACTGGCTTCTAACCTCGCACGTGCTGGCGCCTTCCGGTCTGTCTGTCGTCCTGGCCTCTAGTTGGGTGCTCCTCTGCCCAGTGGGCCGGGCGTGCTGCGCAGGGGCGGGCTCAGCCACCTGCTGAGGAGCCAGGGTTGGCCACCAAGCCCAGCCCTGAGCTGGCAGCTGCCAAGTGCAGCCTGGCAGGGGGCAGAGTTACCTCTGTTGGACCCAAGGACAAGCGTCTGAGAAAGACAGAGGTTGGGGTCTCAGGTCCCCGCGAGGGTTCTCTGCAGTCCTTGTGCCCCAGGGCCAGGAAGAATGTCACTGGGCCATTTGTCCCCCCTGAAAGCTGGGAGAGAGGGAGGTGAGCCAGCACTGCTGGCCTGGCATGTGCTGTCCCTCTGGCTTCCCACAACTCCAAGGTTATCCTGAACTTGCTGAGGAGACAGATCTGCCCAGGGAGAGAGACGCAGGCTTCTGCCCAGGGTTGAGTTGGTGGATGACAGAGCTGGGGCTCTCCTGCCTCAAGCTCCTAGGTTGTTGATCTGGCCCCCTGGCCTCCAAGTGCGTAGGCCCTGCCACAGCGGGATCAGTGACTGCAAGGGACCCCAGAGGCTCTCCTGTCTGTCTGTGGTGTTGTGGCCTGGAGGGGCGGCCGTTTGGAGGTATCATGTAGTCCCTGGTGGCTTCCTGGGGGAGGCTCTTCATACAAAACTCTGGGGGCATGTCGCCACCCTGGGGAGGGAGCTATGTTACCAGTCACTCCACCCTTGGCCACACCACTGTGGCCCACTGGAGACTGCTGCAGAAAAGGTGGGCTGGGCAGCCTGAGGGCCTCTGGGTCCCTTCATGCCGGGGTGGGGTGGGGTGGGGTGGGGTGGGGCGGGCACCTGCCAACCCAGGAGGTCAGGTTTCTCGCTGGGCCACAGTCCCACAGTCCCCAGCCACCTCCTGGTTTCTTCTCTTCAGCCCACGCGTATCAAGTGCTGGTGGTGTGGGGAGCTTGTGTCCCAGTTTTTCCTGTGAACTGCTGCCTGATTTCTTTCAGGCCGAGGCTGGGAGATGACTGTGGATGGACTGATGACAGCCCCACTCAGAGGCTGGGGTCAGGGTGACCTGGGTCTTCAGGGCCTCTGGGATGACCTAAGGGAATACCTGAGGAGACTGCAAGAGGCCTGGGAGTCCCTACGCTGTGGGACTGGGGTGGGGCTGTTGATCCAGAGCTGGGGTAGTGGGTGGGAGAAGCCTGGGGGCAGCGGGGAGCTGCCTGCTGGCTGAGGGCCCTGAGGGGGGCTGGGTGGAGATGGCTGGGAGGGCAGCCCGCGGGCATCTTTCCTTTCCAACCTTGCCCTCCTCTCCTCCTCCCGGTGCCTGGCTGTGCTAGCTGGAGGCAGCTGAGCTAGAGCTGGGGCACTCGGGGCCAGTGTGGGCCTACTGGGGGGGGTTTGGGGGGGTTTGCAGCCCGTCTTCTCTCCCACCTTCTGCACCAAGTGCTTCTAAAAGGGCTAGAGTGTGAGGAATGTGACCCAGAGGGAGGACAAGACAATGGCTCTCCTTCTGGGAAGTCTAAACGGGACCTGCCCTATGCTTTGTTGTGCTGCTAGGACCTCCTTGCTCTGATCCATTCCAAGAGAATTGTGCAGATTTAGCTAAGACCTTTCTCCCCTTCCCGGCCCTCTTAACTAGATCTTTCAGTCAGACAGGGAACCCGGTGTGGTTAGTACTGAGGTGACCATTCCGAGTGTGCGGTGTCCGCCTTTTGCCACACGTTAGAAGGTGCTTGCTTGGGCTGGCCCTGCTTGGAGGCAGGAGGGAACAGCTGTCCAGGCTTGGGGAAACTGAGCACTTTGGGAAAGTGCATCCGTCCAGCTGGGTGCTTTGCCAGAAGTGGCCACAGCCCAGCCTGAGAACGTGAGGCCACTGGCGAGTTTTCCCCTGGGTGGGGCCACCACGTTCCTGGGCTGTGACTCAGACCTGAATCTGAGTCACCCCTAGTTACTCGCAGCAGCATCCACCACAAGCAAGCTGTCAGAGCCCATCCCTGCCCGGCTCTGCAGACTACACAGGTCTCTGGCTGGCAGTGGGGCCGTAGCGCCACCTGGTGGATGACAGCAGCCTGTAAGGCTGGAAAGGGGCACCCAGTGGCAGGGCTGGCTCTTGGCTCCAGAGGGCTCGTGCAGACTTGGACAGTGTTGCCGTCTGGCTGGTCTTCTTGTGCCATGTCTTCCAGGTCTTCTGGTGGCTCCCCTTTATAGTGGCTGCTGCCCCCTGCCCTTTCCAGAGTGACTGCAGTGGAGGTCCTTGGAGTATCCATGTTGTCTAACCTCTCTGCCCAGAGCTCTGATCTTGCTCAGCAGCAGGAGTTGGGGAGAGGGCTGCTTGGGGAGAGGGGTGGTTGGGGATGGCCTGGCTGCTGACCAAGGCCCAGAGGAGAAATGCTGTGCCCTACCCCCAGGCTGAGGAGGAGCTCATCAAAGCCCAGAAGGTGTTTGAGGAGATGAACGTTGACCTGCAGGAGGAGCTTCCGTCCTTGTGGAACAGGTGAGTGCCGGAGGGCCCCTGTTACCTGCCTTCTCCTGGAGTGCTACTGCCCTCCTGGGGTTTGTGTTTCTGTGAGGCACCTGTGGCCCTGTGCGGGCACCCGGATCTCCAGGTTGACCCCCTGGGTGCTTGGGGTCAGCTGCCCACCTCTTCCTTCCCTCCCTGTGGCAGCCGTGTAGGTTTCTATGTCAACACGTTCCAGAGCATTGCAGGCCTGGAGGAGAACTTCCACAAGGAGATGAGTAAGGTAGGCCCAGGACTCCCTCTGGGCCTCTGGGCCCTGCTGGCCAAGGGTCAGTCAGTGTTCGAGGCGTGGAGGGGGCAGCCTGAGCTCCCCCGCCCCTGCTGGGGTTAGGCACTTGAGTGATCAAGGAACCCCCTCGCCCTCAGAGACCAGCTGCCCTGGGGAGACACTGCGTGGGTCCCTGGGTTCAGTCCCCTGCCAAGTCCCATTCTTGCTTAGACGGGCTGGGGGCATAGAGACCAGCCCTTCTCAAGCTGCGAACAGTTTCAGGGCTCCTTTTTTCTCTTTCTTCCCTGCAAAGATTTTATACTTTAAAAAAAAAAAAAAAGCAAACTTGTGAAAAGCTTAGAAAATAAGCATTTTGGAGAAGGAAAGTTTTATTTGAAGTTAGTCTCTTATTCCATGGAGCACAGTTGCGCACAGGTGGGAGGAGGGTTCACCTCTGAGCTTCCGTGTCCTCAGCGAGGACGGCCGAGGCTGGACCTCTGCTCTCGCTGTGCTCTGGGGGGTTTCTGGCAGTCAGGTGTAGCCTGAAGAGGGACTTGGCACAGCGACCTTGACAACTGGGACCAACAGGGAGTCTAGGAGAGCAACTTGTGAAAAAATTACCAGCTTTATGTAGCATTCAGGCTGTTGCTATGCAGAGCAGCAAGAGGAAGGACACTTCCTAGGAACTTGGCCTGTCACCAAGGCCACCCACCACCTCCCTGTTGTCCTTTTCCTGGGTCTTCGCGGCCTGATGTGCGTGAACTGGCTGTCACTTGTAGGGCCGGAGGCTTGCTTGTGCTGGGGAGGGCAGGGCCAGGGGAGGGAGCAGCAGGGGCTCCTGGGGCGGGGGGCTTAGAGACCCTCACCTGCTCCCCGTCCCTCCCTCCCGCAGCTCAACCAGAACCTCAATGACGCGCTGCTCAACCTGGAGAAGCAGCACGGGAGCAACACCTTCACAGTCAAGGCCCAGCCCAGGTGCGTGGGCGGCTGCTTGGGCCCGCGTGCCCACCTCCGTGGTGCTTCCCTGGGCCTGCAGGCCTGGGCTCTGGGAGCTTGGTAGCTCGGCCTCCACTGGTCAGGGATGCTCGTGAGAGCAGGTCCCTGTCCTCAGACGTTTCCATTCTGGTGTGACCTGTCACACCCAGTGTGACAACTCAGGAAGGAGTGTCACTGGAGAGGCTGCAGCCCTCCCCCCACCTGAGGAATAGGAACACGATGGGCGTGTGAAGCTCAGCTTTAGGGGTGCAGGACTGAGTGGTTCCTCGTGTGGCAGCTTTCTGGAGAGCTTCAGGCTTGAAGCCCCAGCTCTGATGGCAGGTTCTGCCACCTCAGGGTGCTGGTCTCTGTCTCCTGCCTGGCCCACGCCCCTTGGGCCCAGCTGCTCAGGAGCTTCCTGTTTTCTGAAGGGAAGCTTGAGCTGGGAGGGAAAATGCCACTCCTCTGGCTGGGCCTGGGGACACATGGAGAAGCCTTGGATTGCCCTTCCTCTTAGGGGTGTGTGTGTGTGGCTTGTGAGTGTGTATGGTGCGTGTACACATGTGCCCGTCCCAGCTGAGTGCAGAGCACCACGAGCTTTGCTGTCTGTGTCTGTACAGTGGGGAGGTGGTGTTCGCTTCTTGCAGGAACTGGGGTGCTATCTAGGGCCGAGGACATGTGTAGTGTGAGTCATGGGACCCCTAAGTGGGACTGCGACGGGCCCCCGGTGCCACAAGCAGCCTAGGGGGTGGGGGAGTGGGCAGGGTAGAACCTGGGTTGCTGGGGATTGGCCGGGAGGGCTGGGTGTGCCTCTGACCAGGGCTCAGGGGACAGGTGCTTGGGAGAGTGGTCCTGGGGAGGAGGGGGGAAGGAAAGGCTCGGACTCTGCTTGGCACCAGAGTGGCCAGCGGTACAGCCCGTGCCTCCTGCTGGCCTCCCCTCCTGGGGCCCCGCCCTGCCAGCCGAGTCCTTCCTGGAGCCCAGGGCCTCCTGGGCTCCTAGCTCAGCCTGAGGCAGGCACCAGCCCCGGCCGAGGTTCCTGTCCTCACCGGGCCCTGCCGGCGCACCTGAGCACTGGCAGGTCGGGTGGAGAGGCTTGTACCTTTACCATCCCCTGAGAGGGGCTGGCGAGGAGGGCAGAGACCAGGGCCAGCCTGCACCTCAGTTCCCCAAGCGAAGGCCTCCACACCCTGTCCATCCCCACAGAAAGAAAACTAAACTGTTTTCTCGGCTGCGCAGGAAGAAGAACAGGTACCTGCGGGGAGCGGCCCCGCGGCCACGCATGCTCCTTGGGCCCCGAGCCAGGCCACACTAACCCTAACTGCCCGCTGCCCGCCTGCGTGTGGTGTTGGGTGCCACGTGTATGGGGCGGGCATGAGGCCTGAGGGTTGGGGCTGCCCAGGGTCTGGTGCGGTGTTGCCCAACACTGTGCACCACCTACACCCTTCCAGGGGGAAAAGGTGGTGAAGGAAGAGGCCGGGACAGGGCCTAGGAAGGACTTTGCAGTGGATATTTCCAGAAACAGTTACCCACATGAACGATATCCTGAGGCATGTGCAGCCCATAAAACAAATTCTGAGCCACATCTCTCACACTCTCCCCACCCCAGCCCACCAGGTTTGTTGTCCTAGACCTGCTTTGGCTACCAAGGGCCTCCTGAACACCTGTAGTGCGGCTAGTGTGACAGCACCTGAGCTAATGTGGTTCTACTGGTGAAGTCGTCACCAGCCAGGGGCTGCCACATTGAGCATCCCTGTTCTGGAACATTCTCCTGAAAGTGTGTAAGAGGATTGGTTCTCAGCCACCACACCTTGTGGGCGCCACTGCACACACATCGGGCTCCTGCTGCCCACTGCTCCACTTTGAGGGTGTGGCAGTTGTTCACCTAGGCGCTGCCCGGTCTTTTATGTCTCTGGATGTCTCTCCAGGGGTGCAGGCAGGGAGTGAAATCTGGAGACAGTGAGGGATTGAGACCTGGGCGGTGGGTCTGGTCCTGGGTGGGCAGGCTGGGGGCTACTGTGTGACGTGGCGTTGACTTACTTTGCCTCTAGGATGCCTGGCTTATGAGTGCTGGGGCCTCGGGCACAGTTGGCATGGCCCGTAGTGGAGCCTGGTGGGACCTGCGGGGGCCTCAGGCCTGGCCCTGGGTGGCCTTGTGTGGAAGGGAGGGCACGGCCAGGGCCCCTGCCTTGCTGCCCTGCACGCTCCCTCCATCTGTTGCTGTCATACAAACCCCAACACATAGATCCATGAAGGTGCACATGTGTACACACACACACACACACGGGGACACACTTCCATGTGGGTCTGTGATGCTCATACATGGACACTTTCATATGTGGACCCACATGCACATGCACTTGGACGCGTGGCTTCCTGGGGCTCACACTTCACACGGGCACCCAGGGAGCTCCTGGCGTGTCCTAGGGCACCTGCTGCGTACAGCTCCTTGCTGGAGCCTTGTCTGCACATCCTCTGCTGCGGTCTCCCCACATTGGCCTCCCTTTCCTGTCCTGGTCTCCAGTGACAACGCCCCTGCGAAAGGGAACAAGAGCCCCTCACCTCCGCCAGATGGCTCCCCTGCTGCCACCCCCGAGATAAGAGTGAACCATGAGCCAGAGCCGGCCGATGGGGCCACACCCGGGGCCACCATCCCCAAGTCCCCGTCTCAGGTAGGCACGAGGTCCTGGTGTCCCTTCTGCTCCCTGGCTTTCCTGTCCCTGCCTGGTCCTGGATGTTTGGAATGGCCTGGACTGTAGTCTCCTTGGGTCCCACCTACCCTGGCGTGCTCGTGGGTCCCACCTGCCCAGGCATGCTCAAGTGGCCATGGGCCCTTAGGAGGATGTGGCTGGCTGTTCTCTCCCTGCAGTGGCTGCTCCTCTCCCTCTTCCTGGCCTTTCGGATGCTTGACTCTTCCTCTTCCTCTCTTTCCTCTCTAGACAGACACTGAGCCTCCAGAGGTGGCTGGCTACCTTTGATCTCTTGCAGGAGGCTTGGGGGGAACCTCACGGGGTGGCCCTGCTGGAGCAGGACAGGGACAGAGAGGAAGGGCTCAGCGTGGCCATGTGGGGCCGAGGGGGATGAGGCTGGGCTGCTGGACTGTTCTGTCTCACCCAGCCTCAGCCTGCCAGGCCCCCAGGTTGCTGGGGGTTCCATGGGCCTGAAAGGGGAGCCCCGCTGGCCCAGGCTGCTCCCCCAGGGGGTGATGAGGGCTAGAGCAGTGTCTGTGCTCACTACCGCCTCCCCGCTGCCCTGAGCAGTGGCCTGGGAGAGGCAGAAACCAGTTCTGCAGTGGCATGACCTGCCTGCCTGCGCACCCCACCTGTGGACGCGAGTCCGGGCCTTCCTGGGACCTGGCTCCGTGCTGGCTTCCTGGGGGGCAGATGGGAGATGCAGAGGGGTCTGCCAGAGGACAGGTAGATGGAGGCGGCCGGGGCTGCCTTGGCTGCACTCCCTCGCCGCTGACCCTCTCCTGGCACCCGAGCAGGAGAGGTTCTCTTTCCTCCTTCCTTTCATCTCCGTTTTGCTTCTCCATGTTCCTGTTCTCTGCAGTCTCTCTGGACCTCCTGCCTCGGTCGGTCTCCTGGGGCGGTCTGCAGTCCTGGTGTCTGTGTCTGGAGGCCACAAGCTTCCTTTTCCTCATCTTCTGTTGTTGGGTGGGGCTGTGGCCTGGGCTGGGACTAACCGTGGCTTTGTCTTTGTCTCCCCCAATGCCCCATCCCTGCTGCTACTCCTGCGCCGCCCCCTGCCCGCTGACCCACAGCTCCGGAAAGGCCCACCGGTCCCTCCGCCCCCCAAACACACCCCGTCCAAGGAGATCAAGCAGGAGCAGATCCTCAGCCTGTTTGATGACACGTTTGTCCCTGAGATCAGCGTGACCACCCCCTCCCAGGTCAGCCGTGGCTGCCGTGGCCCGGTCCCCTCGCTCTTCTTTGGAGCCTGCATGGTGGCCTTCATCTTTCATCCACCCACCTCTGCCCTGGAGCCGGGCATCTGGCTCTTACCACCCACCTATCCCGCCTCCATCACCGTCATTCTCATCACCATCACCACCCCCTCGGTGTTCACTGTGGCCTGATGCGAGGACATGGGGCAAAGAGCCCTCATGTCCCACAGTGTGGGCTCAGGGATTCCCCCCAGCGTGGCTCATGCTGCGCTGGGGTGTAGAGGGCTTGGGAGAGGAGGGGACATTGGCCTGGTGGGTCTCAGGTGGTGCTTCAGCCAGACATAGCAGAGATGGGCCGGAGGCGTGGAGAACGGGCTCCTTGGGCTGTGGTGCAGGCTGCTGCTGGCTGGAGCAGCTACATGCACTGCGACAGCTCTGGCCTGCACACTCAGCTCCTAAATGCCCTAAGGGCCGTGCCGTGTGCACCCGTCCCCAGGTGGGCCTGGACTTGCAGTGGGGCCCCCTCGCAGGTCGCTTGTCCCCAGCTGGGCACTGGTGCTGCCCTAGCCCCTTTCTTCTCAGCCCCAGGGGTTTATTTATCTGAGTCAGTCTTCACTCTGGGCACTGCATATTTAGGAGTAGAGGGACCTGTAGCCCAGCCACAGGCTGCCTCCTGACCTGGTGCCAGGATAAGGCAGGGCTGCCGAAGTGGCTAGGTGGCTGCGCCTCCCTTCTTACCTTCTGACCCGTGCCTGGAGAGCTGGAGCTGCCACTGTGTGGGTGTAGGGGGGAGGCCATCACCCCATGGCACCACGTGTGACAGGGCTGGCCTTGTCCTGGCCGCCTTGCCGGTGTCCATGGGGCTGCCCTGCTGGGATGTGGTCTGTTTCTGCGTGGGGGATGGTGTACCTGCCAGGAGTAGGCAGCAAGAAGGTGGCCAGGACGCTGGCCTCGCCCCTCCCCTGGAGCACTGGGTGATGTGGTCTGGGCCTGGCTGGCTTCTGTGAGCAGAGGGTGGGGTGCTGAGAGGCTGGCACCTGCGGTGGAAGCACCCGGTGAGGGGACCCGCGCTCCCGGCAGTCTTGTGCAGTTGGCCAGCTGAGGTGGGGCAGAGCCCCGCCCAGGCTCCTCAGCAGGGGCTGGGCCTGGCTCCCCTGGGCTCTGGAAGCGAGGCTGCATGTTCGTGGGCAACTCTGAAGGCCAGTGCGTGGGTGGGCCAGCCCCAGTGCCCTTTGCTCAGAACTGCAGCTCTGGGGGCTATGGCAGAGGCCATGTGGTAGGGCTGGGGTGCTGATCTCAGTGCTTGGTGCCCACCCAGAGTGAGTGTAGCCGGACTACACTGGCTGGCCGGCCTGGGCTGTGTGTGCATTGGTGAAGGGCGATCTCTGAGCCATATGCCTCCTCTGTCTGGGAAAGGGGCGCCCAGAGCCCCGCGTCGCTTGTCCCCAGCTGGGCACTGGTGCGGCCCTAGCCCCTTTCTTCTCAGCCCCAGGGGCTTATTTTTCTGAGTCAGTCTTCACTCTGGGCCCAGCCGGGGGGCTCCTCTGGGGCGCTGAGGAAGATAGTCCAGCGTAGTGTACAGCGGGGCCATTACAGGTGGCCATCCCTGCACACAGGCCTGTGAGAAGCCAGTCTCCGGCGTGGCTGTGGGTGCCCCGGTATCCTCCAAAGCCCTGTAACAATGTGGATCCCATTTTGAAGGCCAGCCCTTGAGGCTGTGTGCACTGGCACAGCTCCTTCCTTCTCCCTGTAGCTGGTAGATGGGGAACCAGAGGGTGACTTGCCTGGGGTGCCCTGGGGAAGCAACCCCGCCACCTTGGGCCTCTTGGTGGGTGATGCCAGGGTGGTTGTGTCTGCTTCTGCCACTCAGGGACAACGTCGGGGGCATGTGGGGCGGAGGGCAGAGTGTAAGGGCCACTGGGTGGCCCCAGGCTGCGGGCGGGGGTGGTCCTGCACGGTGGCAACCGCACTACAGCTGGGTGTTTGAGGTGGCACCAAGTGTCTCCGTGTCATCATGCGTGGTCGTGGGCACAGCTGTAGTGTGTGCGTGTGTCTGTGTAAGGGGCAAGTAGGAGCCTGTGTTGCGTGTCTCTGTGCACCCACTGTGTATGCCAGAGCCCTGGGCTCTCAGCTGTCACTAACTGCCTGCCTTCTCTGCTGCTGCTTCTGCTGCCAAGTTTGAGGCCCCAGGCCCTTTCTCGGAGCAGGCCAGCCTGCTGGACCTGGACTTTGACCCCATCCCTCCTGTGGCGAGCCCTGTGAAGGCACCCACGCCCTCTGGTCAGGTTGGTTGTGCCCACCACTGCCCATGGCCCACCAACCTTAGGGCGGGGCCCAGGTGCATGCTTGCCCTGCTCTGTGGGTTGTGAAGCCCAAGCTCATGGGGACCCAGATCACAGGCCCTCTGCCCCTCACGGCCTGGCAGTTGGCTTGTCCTGGGGTAGGGCCAGGAGCAGACAAGGCCTTGGGCTCACCCTTAGGAGAGGCTTAGCCCGACACTTGGGCAATTTCTCATTCATCTCAGCAGCCTGCCTGTCCTGGTAGCTGCTCCCCAGCCAAGGACTTTGCAGCCTCTAAGAGGGTTCCAGGACTGCTGTCTGTTGACCTCTGAGCGCAGGCAGTTCTGTGCTCAAGTGCCCTGGGGTGGGGGTCCCCGGAGATCGTTTGTCTTTAACCGCTGTGCTAACTGCCCTTTCCTCCTCACTGCTGCGCTCAGTCCATTCCGTGGGACCTCTGGGAGGTAAGCCACGTCTGCCCTGTGTCTGGTGCCACTCTGCCACGTGTGCCCCCGCCCACCTTCTCCTCGACCGGTCCTGTGCATGGTGCACGCACTCAGGCCCACACAGCCTCCCCACACAGCGAGCTCCTGAGGCCGCTTCTCTGGCTCATTCACTGCCCTTCTGTCAGGCCTGTGCGAAGGGGTTTCTTGCTTGAGGGAGACAAGCGTCCTCCGTGGTGTGGCCCAGTTTCTAGGCCGAATGTGTCTGCCTGTAGAGATGCAGGCAGGTGGGCACCTGAGTGTCCTCGTGGCGGGTTGAGGGTGTGAGGCAGAACGGCCTCGGCGGAGGCTCTTTCTAGCCAGGAACACACAGGGTGATGGGTCGGGGAGCCATGTAGTGGGAAGGGAGGGAGAGGCAGGTGCCTGCTGGCGGCAGGGGCTGTGGCCAGGTTCAAGGCTAGCTCCCTCTAGACAGAGGTAACTTCACCTGATAGCGCAGGAGGGCTTGAAATGTGCTTAGTGACCAGCAGTGGGAGATAACGGAATTGCATGGGCCTCCCGGATGAGGGCCTGAGACCCCTGACGCAGGCAGAGTGGGCAGGGCAGGGCAGGGCAGGGCCAGGTGGGTGTGCACACAGGAGTCTGGGCACACACTGCCCAGGAGGTGCCAGAGTGTCTCACTCTGAAGGAACCAGATAAGGACCCGGTATGAGCTGGTAGGCCCGTTTCACGAGGAGATGGCATGTTCTGAGTGACCATCACATCTGCAGGTCTCCTTGACGGTGGCAGGAATGAGGTGGTTGGGAGGGTGACCTCCACCCCCAGACTCTGGCCAAGCCACCTGCCTCGAGCACCCTGCGTCCCTGTCAGCACTGCTGCTCACGACGTCTTCTCTTGTCTCACGCCCCTGCCCAACACCTCTCCCGTGGCCCCCTCCCCTCCTTTGTTTTCTCCTGGTGGCCTGGCACCAGCCCACAGAGAGTCCAGCTGGCAGCCTGCCTTCTGGGGAGCCCAGCGCTGCCGAGGGCACCTTTGCAGTGTCCTGGCCCAGCCAGACGGCCGAGCCGGGGCCTGCCGAAGTAAGTGTCCCTCGCCCTGCCTCTGGGTGTAGCGTGCACAGCGCCCAGAGACGAGATGTAGAACAAACCAGACCCTGCAGGCCCCGGGCGCCGAGCGTGAGGTGGGCTTGGAGCTCAGGACCCGAGGACAGGGGCCACCGGGATGTACCGGTCCTGTCCCCAGCTGTGGGGACAACACTAGTGGAGTGCTCTGGGTGGGAAAACAGACGCATAAGGCCTGCCAGGTCACCCTGGGTCCTGCTGGCCCTTTGCCTAATCTCCCTAATCGTGTCAGCAGGTACTTGCTCCTTTCACAGATGGGGAGTGGAGGCTAGAAAGGTTGGGCAACTGGTCCAGTGCATGGAAGTGGCCAGAAGGACCCCCCCTCACCATGCAGTGTTCTCAGGGGAGAAGGCAGCATCCAGAGCTGGGCCTTGCTGTCCCCAGCCCCCACCCCCCGGCCATGTGTGAGGGCACAGGCGTGTGCTGCAGGCCCTTGTCGACCTGCAAGGGCCCACCCAGCGGGGCAGGGCGAGGCTGGGCTTGGAGGAGGCCTGGGTTAGAAGCTGGGCCTGTGAGGCAGGTTGGAGTGGCATCTCAGGTCGGGGCTGGGTGCATCATTGGGTATTGCTGGACCTGCCACACCTTCTGTCCAGTCGCCCACACACTGCCTGCTCTGGCTGCACCTCCTGTGGCCTATGGCCCTGTCTCGGTCATGTGTCTGACTCGTTGCCGGCATTTATGTTGCAGCCGGCAGAGGCCTCAGAGGTGGCGGGTGGGACCCAACCTGCGGCTGGAGCCCAGGAGCCTGGGGAGACGGCGGCAAGTGAAGCAGCCTCCGTAAGACAGCAGGGACCAAAGCCCCATCCTTGAGTCCCGATGCCTGCCTGTCGCCTGCGGTCCCTGTGCGCCCGGCTGCGTTCGGTGGAGCACGGGCCCAGGCAGACAGCCTTCCCTCCCCGAGCCGAGGGCCGGCCCTCGAGGCCTAGCCCTGCTGACCCGTCCCCTGTCCCCAGAGCTCTCTCCCGGCCGTGGTGGTGGAGACCTTCTCAGCGACTGTGAATGGCACCGTGGAGGGCGGCGCTGGGGCCGGGCGCCTGGACCTGCCTCCCGGCTTCATGTTCAAGGTGAGTTCCAGCCAGGGTACCTGCTCTCCCACAGGGAGCTCCTCGGGGCTGGGCTGGGCACCCCAGGCCTTGACGCGGCCCGACACCCCTGCAGGTGCAGGCCCAGCACGACTACACGGCCACCGACACGGACGAGCTGCAGCTCAAGGCCGGCGACGTGGTCCTTGTGATCCCCTTCCAGAACCCGGAGGAGCAGGTGTGCGGCCGGCTGGGTTCCTCCGTTGCCCGTGCAGTGCGCCAGGGCGGCCGGCAGGGGGCAGCACAGGCCGCCCTACTGGGGCTGTCTGGTCCTTCTCTTCCCTCCAGCCCCTCCATGGCCCCCATGGGCCCTGTGCCTCACAGGCTCCGCACACAGCCAGGCCCCCCAGCTGTGCACACAGTCCCTGGCCTCCCAGCTGTGTACCTAGCCAAGTCTTAGCCCAGGTGCCTGCCAGACCCTCCTGCTGTAGCTTGCGTGTTAGTTTCTGTCCAAGGGATGTTCCAAGCCTGGGATTATCCTGGAACTTTGGGCCTGGCGGGAGGATTGCAATTTCAGCTAAGCCTGGCAAGTTTAGTGATTTAGTGAGACCTTATCTCAAAATGTGGGATCCATGAAACAGCACGGTGGGAAGGCCCAGGGTGCGGTCAGTAAGTACTAGAGAAAAATTAATGCACAAGGGAGGGGCCCTGGCTCAACCTGGCTGGTCCCAGGTCTGGGCTTTCGGCCACTGCTCTGCCCAGGTGGCCCACACCTCGCTGTTGGTGTCAACTGGCCCTCATGGGTTGTCGGTGGTGCCCACCGGAGCCCTGGGCTTTGTTCTCAGTTCAGCCCTGCGCTGGAGCCTGGTCGGGCCATTGTCATTGTCCTGTCTGAATGACTGAATTGTCAAGATAGCTGAGGGTTGAGGCCATCCCAAGTGGGGGACCCTGGGTCGGGACTGGAGGGCACAGCGGTGGGGGTCTGCTCACAAGAAATCCCAGGCCAGGCTGAGTCCACTGCTTCTTGCCAGCCCTGAATCTGCACTGGCTGCCCTGTGGGCTTGGGTGGTCTTTTAAGAGCTCTGTCCCCAGCTTGTGTGGTGGGCAGTTGTCCAGAGCTGGCTAGAAGAGCTCAGGAAGGGCAGAGACAGGATCTGTGGCGAGGCAGAGGCAGGTGTAGGTCCAGCTAGTGCCCAGGCACAGCCTGGCTGCAGAGGCAGTGGTGGCCAGCCACAGCAGGCGTAGTGCCACCACAGTCCAGGTTGAGGCCAGGAGGAGCGGGGCCCTGGGAGGTGGGCACCTGGTTGGGTGGGTACACGGTCTGTGGCCGTGTGCTGCAGCGGGCTGTTTGTCTCATTGCAGGCTCTGAGAGGTTTGTGTCGCTGCTCTGGAAGCTTTACATGGTGCCTGCAGAGCTTTGTGATAGTTTCTACAAGTAGGAGACCTAGAAGGACAGCTGATGTCCTTCTCAGAGGGTTCTAGATGGCCGGAAGCCCGTGGCCTGGAGTGAAGGGGTCACTCAGACATGGGTCAGGCCAGGGCAGTAGCCAGGCTCCTTCCCAGATCGAGGTCACTCTCCCAGGTGGGGTGTGGGCTTGGGTGGAGGCGGGTGCTCTGCCTGGAGGAGGAGGAAGGAAGGAGCAGGGCCCGCCTCGCCAGAGCCCGACCCTGGTGTGACGGGGCGCCCCTCCTGCTGCAGGATGAAGGCTGGCTCATGGGGGTGAAGGAGAGCGACTGGAACCAGCACAAGGAGCTGGAGAAGTGTCGGGGCGTCTTCCCCGAGAACTTCACGGAACGCGTGCCGTGACAGCGGAGCCTCTGCCGCCTCGGGGCACCTGAACGTCTTTTCCTGAAAAATGTGTTTCTTTTCTGGTTTTTTTTTTTTTTTTTTTTTTTGTTTGTTTGTTTGTTTTTACAACTTTTAAAAAGCAAAGGGAAACTGAGAGAGGAGAGACCTGAGCCGAAAGGTGTCCTCCCAATACTAGGTTGTTCTCCGAAGAGCCGGGTCCGGCCCACCCGGTGGAGTTCACCAGTGTACCTGGAGCTGCTGTGTCCCCTAGTTGAGTTCCTGGCGTCCCCTCCCACCCGCATGTGTGCCTGGCCGCAGGGCGGGCTGGGGCCCCCAAGCCACCGCTGTGCTTGCCTGAAGCTCCGGCCCCCGCCGGCAGGGCAAGGGCCCCGTTTTCCTGGCAGCTGCAGCACGTGGGCCCACTCGCCAGCCCAGCCTGGCCCCGCCCCGCAGACTATCTGTGTGCTGTTTGAAAATAAACCTTAGTGTTCAAAACAAAATGAAACGAAAGATCTGGCAGAGACGCTCCAAAAGATGTCAGTGTGTCAGTTTCGTCTCTGATGTCCGTCTGAGGCCGTGGTACCCAGCTGCCAGCGGTGCGGTCGGTTACTGGCCAGCTGGAGTCTGCGCAGTGCTCGGCGGGGGCCTGCCTGTGCGCCTGAGGGCTGCTGTGTCCGGGTGGCCATGAGGCAGGTGTCCAGGACCCCGCTCCACAGATGAAGTCCTTGGGGCCTAGGGAGCGTGGGGAGCTGCTTGGGAATTTGGGGAACTGGGTCTGAGTGCTAGGCCCCTGGCTGCCAGACGCCTGAGTCTGCCAGGGCCCCGCAGTGCGTGGGTCAGGATTGAGCCTGGCCTGCTGGCTTTGTCCCACCGTGTGGCTTCCACTGGGCTCAGCCTTGGCTCTGGGGGCTGCTCTAGTGGCCGATGACACACAGCAGTGGCCTGGCCTTCGAGGGACCTAGGGAGTTGTGCTCATGGGCCCCCGAGCCAGCCTGGACTTGCAGGCGGAAGGAGCGCATCTTTATACCAACCTGCAACAGATTGAAAGCAGGTGAGCCCAGCTCCAGGCCCAGGACAGTGCCCTCCCTCGCGTCCACGGCCCCTTGCACGCGGGTGCCTCTGAGAGGGCTTGTCCGGCGGGGTGTCTTCGCCTCCCCTTCCGGGTGGACGCTGCACCGGGGCAGCGGCAGGCGTCTCCATCTCCTCGCAGCAGAGCTCTGACTTGGTGCTCCACTAACGTCTTTCACTATCCCGACTTGCTTCACGGCATGAGTAGCGTGACGGCTCCTTCCTGGCTCCTGAGCCCGGGGGGCGGGGGCGTCCCTTCATAGATTTGAAAATAATCCAAGCTTTGCCGAGTGTAGCTTCGCCTTCTTCGGCCTGGCATGAGGGAGGGCTATAGCAGCAGCAGCCTTCTTGTGACCTGCAGGTACGTACAGAGCTGCACACCGAGGGCGCAGAGTGAGCGCTGAGGTGGGGGATGGGGCGTCCAGCCCCACACTGGGGGTCTTCCTTGCGGCCTTCCTGACTGCCCCCGTGTGGTCGCCAGGTCCTCACTTTGGCCTCCTGCAGCCCTGCGGCCCCCCCTGTGCGGTTCTCACTGTCCATTTCCTCCTGTACCCACGGCGAGTCCAGCGTCCCTTGGGTCTCCTGCCAGCCCACCTGCGGAGTGGACACGGCTGCCAGGGAGGTTTCCCTGAGCCGGGTCTCCCCATTGCCCCTGTGTTTGCGCCTCCAGCAGTCTGCCTTTCCACCCAAGCCCGGATCCCCACACGGGGCTCTGTGAGCTCTGGCCGCTCCCGTTTCCTCCCCTTCCCTGCCCAGAAGGGCCTGTCCTGTAATAGCCACGTTACCTGTGGCCTCTTCCTGTGTGTGGCTGCTCCGCCACGCTGTGGCCACATACCCTCAGCAGCACCCTTTTTCTCCCGGCTGACCTAGCTCCTCTGTCAGACCGAGTGCCCAGAGGTCTTCCCGCGTCACCTGTCAGTGTTGCCTGCCTCACTGAGTGAGTAGCAGGGTGGAGGTGCCCATGCTAGCTCCCTGGGCAGCTGCCTGGAGTAGGGCCAGCCCAGCTCCAGGGCAGCTCAGGGCGCGGGACCCTGCTGTCGCTGGCTCCTGCCGCAGTCTGCCCACTGCTCAGTGTAGAAGTCATAGGGCATTTGCTGATGGCTCAGTAGAATAAGCGCTTCCCTGGCAAGCACAAGGGCCTAAATTCAATCCCCAGTTCTGCCCCCCCCCATAAAAAAGGAAAATAAAAATGGAAGCCACAGTCCCCTGCACTCACCCCATGAAGTTTGCTTTCAATTTTGCTTGTTTGGATGGAAGGGAATCCTCCTTGAGCTGGCCAGGACAGGCTCCCTTTCAGCCCTTGACCTACTGCAGGCTTGGCTGTCACCCAGAGGGAGCCAGGGCAGACAGAGCCACCTACCAGAGATGCCACTACTCCCCTTGGAATCTGCCTCTAGGCCTCCTGCAGCCTGTTGAAAGCTGTCTTTAAGCCTGGAGTTTGGATGACAGGATATGTTGTAATAAAATTGCTCCAGTCTGCCAGCAGAGCCTGCGGTACACTTGTTCTCACTCTGATACTTGTGGGATGGTTCTTTTCCCAGTTTTGATTCTGCTTGGTTTTCCTGCAATCTGCTCATCTTCCTATTTTGTTTGCAAGAATTTTATGAGACCACAAAATCCCACAGCAAGGATAATGTGTGTCCGTCATAAACTGAACCAACAAAAAGCGCCCATCCTCACGAACATGTAGTTTTCTACGCAGTGCAGCGTGCCTGTCATACACGCATGTGTATGTCCTTATTCTAACAAAAGAATGCACGCGGCTGCTCAGCACTTTGTAGAAGTCCTGTTTGGGAAACCTCTTGAGCCTGTGGTGGCAGAGTTATTTGGCTGTCTTGAGGCCATAGGAAAAAAATATCTGTTGAAAGTTGCTTACCATTTAGCATGGGCATAGACTGGTGAAGACGAAGCAAAACACCCAGGTCTCTAGTGGAAGTAAAGTTTCATCCATTGAGGGGAAATAAAACCCTTAAAGAGCACATTTGGTTCTGGAAGAGGGTCCCACCAAGCATGGCCTGGGTGGGAATCTGGGGCCGAGTCACTGCATGATCCTGCCTCTGTTTTTGGGAGATGGACAGGAAGGTGGATGTGGGTGTGAGGAGCATCTTCAGGGCATTGGAGCTCTGAGGAGAGGGCGGTACCTACCTGGAGAAGGACCTGCCGTGGCAACAGGTATCTTGGCCATAAACACTGTAAGTGTGTAGGACACTGAGGACAGGTACTCAGTTTGAACCAGGTCTGTGTGGGGCTGAAAAAAGTCCTGGTTTTCACCACTCGTCTTGAGTGTGCTCATGTAGCCCTGAGGAATCATGGGAAGGGATCGACTCCATATTGGAGCTGACAGACCAGAGAGGGCTCTGCTGTAGAGAAGAGAGGGCTTGGCAGACGCTGACGGATGAAACACGCCCCCGGACTCCTGCTCAGCAAAGCTTGTTGGAGATAGCGGGGCCTGAAGATAGTACGAACTGAAATCTTCACAATAAGTAGAAGAGACAAGGAGCCATTTGACTGGGAGTAAGGGAGAGAATCCCAGATAGCCGGCGGCCCAGGGCCAGAGCCAGGCAGATTCTTGGGTTGTGTTTGGCCCCTTGTAGCAGGTGTTGGGAATCTAGGGCTGGGCTCTGAGCGAAAGGTGTCTAGACCTCGTGTGCGGTTTGCCTTGGCCTAGGCTTTGACTTACACAGTGGTGGTAATACTTGACTCAGGCTTGTTTTGTGAGTCAAAAATGTTGCAGGCCAGATTGTAGGTTTTATTTCATTTTTATATTTTTATTCATTTTAATGAGCAAAACAATAGCAATGAAACAGTTTCAAAACAGGTTAGTAGGATAGTTACAATAATGAATACATTGCATATTGTTGTCTTCGTAGTAGTTAATTCAGAGGACAAGATGCAGACATGATACCCTGTCTAAACAATATTAATACAAACCTCATTGAACTAAGAGAAAGTAGCTGTATATCCTATTTTGTATATGTATATATATTTTTGTTTGTTTGTTTGTTTTCACTACAAAATGATCCTTCATTTGTATCCCCCTTTTTGTTTTGCTTTGTCAGAGATGGGTGTTCCATTGCTGTTAGAGAAGCTCATAGGGTTGTCCTGCTACAGTGTTGTATATGGTTTGATTTCTACATTTCTATGTAAAAATGTGTAATTGGTTTTTTTTTTTTTTTACATTCTATAGGGATTTAAAGTTTAGATTATCCATAGTTGTTGGAAAATAGCAGTTCCATGTTATGTCTGAGGAGATTGATATTCAGACAGATAGTGAGGTTAAGCTCAACTGCCTCTGTTACAGGATAATAATATCATTAAGCTTCTCTTCCGGATGGTTAACAACTAAAGTTTACAGATCAAAAATTAGAGAAAAAGAAGGGCCACAAGGACAGCCAATGTTTTGGCCTTAGCCCTTCATGATCAGTTTGTAGTTTTTGAATTTATTTTTTGCAGTGCTGGGAGTTGAACCCAGGGCCTTAGCACCGAGCTACATCCTTAGCCTTTTAAAAATGTTTCCTATTTTGAGACAGGGTCTCACCCAGTCATCAAGCTGTCCCAGTTAAGCTGGAGGTTTCACTTCGGTTGACTCAGCATATATCTTAATTCAAAAAACAATCTTCCAGTTTTATTTTCTCTTGGGTCTGGGGATAGAGCCCAGGGCCTCGGGCGGCAGCCAAGAGCTCTCCCACTGAGCTGTTCTTCAGCCCCTCAGCGTGGGCCGCGGATGCTGGAAAGCAGAGGCCAGGGAACTGTCGCTGCAGGTCTCCCTTCCTGGTTATTTTGGGTGATTTTCTTGCTTCTCAGAGTTCCCCCAAACTGGGTGCCACTCTTGGCCTGCAGTGGGGTGCTCCCAGTCAGGGACTGAGAGCGCTGTTCTCCTGGGGCTCGTGGGGGTGATTCTCTATGCAGAGCAGCTTCTTTCACCTGTTCACTGAGAGTAATACCGGACTTGCCATCTCTAATATGACCTTCACAGCACAGCACAATTCTATGCCAGAGAAAGGAGGCCAGAGTCACACTGAACTCGTGAAAACAACTGTATTTGCAAGAAACGTTAAGGAGACTAAGTGAGCTTTTGAACTGTGGGAGACCAGTGAGAATTAGATATTATTGAAAAATGTTTCCATTGACAAAAAACAAAATCTTAAATTGTAGTTTAAGGAGGAAGAAAAAGGGTTTAATATTAGGTCTGCAAAAGAAAGAATGCTAAAGCGACATTTACAATACTTCGAAATATCGCAACAATAAAGTGGGCTCACTCAATTCTGCGTGATGGATTCCCCCTTGCGGAATCTCGGTCTGTGGTCTACTTTCCGAAGCTCTGCTGGAGCAGAGAGGCCTGGACTCTGGGCTCTGCCGCCAGCGTGCCCGCAGCCGCTGGCAGGACGCCTGGGCTGGCCTTCTTTGCTGAGACACTTTGCCCAGAGCTGCTCGCAGCAGGC